GGGGAGGATGCGCTCGTACACCGTCTCGCAGAGGGAGGGCGAGGGCGGGTACAGCGTGACGATCCACCGGCCCGCGCTCCGGATCCGCGGCCCGCTCGAGATGGACAAGACGTACCGCGTCGTCACGCGCGAGTACCTCGCCGAGGGCTACGACGGCTTCGAGGCGCTCAAGCGGGGCCGCGAGGTCGTGGACCACGAAAATGGCCAGCTCATGTCGGCCATCGTGCGCAGGTTCCTGCTCGGCGCATCGTACATCTGGCGCATGAAGCAGATCCGACAGTTACCCACCAACGGCGGCGGCGGCGGTGGCGGGCCTGGCAAGGCGGAGTCGGCTGCCGATGGCGACGTGACCATGGAGGATATCGGGGCCCAGGCTGCGGCCACTGGCAGGGACGAGGAGAAGACGCTCTCGAAGAGGACAAAGGAGGCCATCCTGCGCGCGCGCGCTCTGGGCCTGCTGCAGAAGGGCGCCAAGCACGGCCACGCCGACGCCATCGAGGGACAGGACAACGCCGCCACGCCGCGCAAGAAGCCCGGCGTCGGCGCGGGAGAGCGCTTCGAGATGATTGTCGACCAGAGTCCCGGGGGCTTCCGGGATGCGCTGCACATTGGCGGGTCGGAGCACCACTCGGCGTACGATCCGGTCTCGAAGCGCTTCGCCAGCGCCTCGGCCAGCAGCGGTCGCCAAGGTGCGAGACGGCAGCCGCTGCCGCGCACCTCGACGGGCGCGCACCTCCCCACGTCGCCCATTCCGGCGTCTAAGCGGCCCAAGGTGGCGAGGGCGCAGTCGGAGCATGCCCGTCGTGGAGAGGGCAGTGGCATCGACGACGACGACGACGACGACGATGGCGGAGAGGACGGGGACAAGTCGTTGGAAGCCGATGGGGCGGCCAAGGACCTCTTTGATCCGAGCGACGCGCCGACGCTCCTCGCACGCATCCGCCACCTGTGCAACCTGCTGGAGCAGGTAGGCGGCAAAGATGGACGCCTTGCCGTGCCCGCCGAATCGAGCAGCGCAGACGACACCACCACCACCACCACCACCGGCACCAGTGGCGGCGGCGGCGGCGAGGCGCAGCAGGCGACGGAGGCGCACGACGAGACGTCGGGCATCGTGCTGGGCGCGACGACCGAGGACGACATGACGTACATCCCGACGCTGTCGGCGCACAGCGCCAAGACGCACCCGACGCCGCTCTCGGACGCCATCGTGTCCGAGACGCGGTCGATCCGCTCGACGCTGCTGCGTCTCCGCGCCGCGGCCGACCGGCTCGAGGATGGCGAGATGAACGGACGCGAGCAGGACGAGACGATCGAGATGCTCCGGTCGTACCTCGACAAACAGGCCGAACTGGCCAGCCGCTTTGGCGCCACCGCCCAGCAGCAGGGGGGAGGAGAGGGAGGGAGGGGCGGGTGCGTCAATGTGGATGTCGAGGTGGATGAGGAGGATGTGGAGAGGTTCAGAGAGGCGAGCGATGAACTCGCCGTCATCTCACCGCTCGTCGATGGTCGACTGGTCGATCTGGCGCGGCAGTGACCGGCGCGGTCGAGGTCGAGGTCGATGCTGGGCCGAGGCACGGTACTGGTAAAGGCACGGGCGGGATGGGACGAGACAGGCCCAGAAGGACAGAGCGTGGCCAAGGCCCGAACGAGATGATTGGCACGCTGCCTGGCGGAGAGGGCAGGATGTGCCGCTCTGCCGCAGGACGAGAGACGGATAGAAAGGGAGTGGAATACATGACACGATCAAATCCAATCTGGTCTGATAGAGGCCGAAGTTTAGAGGTACAGAGAGCTGTGATCGGAACAAATCGCATCGCGGCGCACAATCAAGGGTGAAGATGGAGAGGAGAGAAAGGGGGAAGAAGGAAGGGTCAGCCAACATGTCCTCACGCAGGCAACCGTACGATGAGACGCGGCAAAGACGACGACGACGACGACGAGGCAAGGCACGTACGGGCTGAAGATGATGCTGCTCTTGCGCTCCAGCTTGTCCATGGCGGCTTCAAACTTTTTCTGGAGCTCCTCGTTGCCGATAGCCTTGGCGGCGCTGGCCATCTGGCGGATGAGCTCCTGGAGCCGTCGAAAGACGCGGATGATGCTGCCCTCAAAGACGTCGGTGAGCTTGCAGATTTCCGAAAACTTGGCGCCGCGGCACCACTGCAGCACGGCGTCCATCAGCTCCACCTTGAACGACGACACGTAGTCCTCCTCGACGAGCGGCAGGCGCGATTCCCGAGACACCTTGGCGATCCGCCGCGCCGTCTCTTGCATGATGCGCAGCGGCGAGGCCAGTTCTTCCTTGAGTCGCACCGTCGCTTCGCTCTACAGGTCGTTGAGCGGAAAAAAAAGGGGGGAGCCCGGGGCGGAAAGGAGCGTAACGAGGACAGATTGAGAGGGCATGGTCGTGTCAGATTGTCTGGTGGTGGCATAGCGTGCAGATCTGAAGCGGCGTCGGCGTCGGCGTCGGCGTCGGCGCCAGCGGCAGCGCCACGCGCACGCGCACTCACCTTTTCGCCAAACACAAAGCAGCTCAGCAGCGCGGCGCACTGCTCGGGCGTGAGCTCGTTAAAGACGCCGTTGAAGACCATCTCGGTGAGGAGCAGCTCGTCGCCCGTCGATATCTCGCACGCCACGCGGCCCTTTTTCTCGACGACATCGTCGGCCGTCGTGAAGCCGAGGCGGCGCAGCACGCGCTTGCGGCACTTGAGCTCGTCGAGCTGCAACACGCTGTGGGCTGCGGCAATCTTGCGCCGGATCTCCTCGACCATGTCGTTGGCCTTTTGCTTGCGGCTGTAGGCCTCGTACAGCCGCGGCAGCTCCGGATCCGTGGACAGCGCCGACTCGGACAGCCTCGTCTCGAGGATCGAGATCTTGGCGAGCAGGTGGGCAAACGCCTCGTCCTTGATCTTCATGTCCTTGATCGGGTCCAGCAGCGGCACGCCCTTGGGGAAGCGCCGCCGCACCTCGGCCAGGTTCTTGCGCACCGTCTCGCGCGGCTCGCGCGGCCGCAGATCCTTTGGCAGAAAGATGCGGATGCCCGACAGGCCCGCCACCGTCGACAGCAGCACGGGCACCACCAGCATCTCGGCCTTGGCATCGGGCGGGCACGGCTGCACGCTGCTGGCCGCGTTGGCCTTGTCCTTGCCCACCGTCGACCCGGGCGCGCAGGCGAGGAGGACGTCGACAATGTAGTGCTGCTGCGGCGGCGCGCTCGGGTCGAGCGCCTTGCCCTTGCCCGGCAGCCGCTTCTCGACGCTGACGACGCTGCCCCACCCAAAGTCGAGCTCCTCGTGCTTGACGTGGACCAGCCGCCCGGGCTGCAGGAAGGGCAGCGCGTAGCTCGGGTGGGTGATGACGGCCTGGACGTCGGACTGGAGCGTCTCGAGCTGCTTGCGCATCCCGTAGTACTCGGACACCTCGTCCTCGCGCGGCACCTCGATGGCGTCGCGGTCGGCCTCGGCGGCGGCCAGCTCGCCCTCGAGCATCGGCACGCTGGCGGCGTTCTGGAACTGGAAAAAGCAGCGCTCGAGCATGTACTCGGGCGAGATGCCCTCGACGCGCATCAGGTTGAGCACCATGTTGTAGCCCAGGTGGAAGGCCGAGTCGAGGCGGTCGGCCTCGCCCTTGACCATCGTCTTGGCGGCCGCCGGCTCGAGCTTCTCGTCAAACATCATGATGACGATGCCGCGGTCGTCGAGGCCGCGCCGGCCGGCGCGCCCAGACATCTGGATAAACTCGCCCGAGCTGAGGTTTCGGAACTCCTTGCCGTCCCACTTGCGCACCGCCGTGAAGACGACCGTCTTGGCGGGCATGTTGAGGCCGATGGAGAACGTCTCGGTGGCAAAGAGGACCTTGATCAGGCCCTCCTGGAAGAGGATCTCGATGACCTCCTTGAGGATGGGCAGCAGGCCGCCGTGGTGGATGCCGATGCCGCGCCGCAGCAGCGGCAGGATGTGCTCAATCTGCGGCAGCGAGCGGTCCTCCTCGCTCAGGTTGTCGATGGCGTTGGTGAAGACGGTGCTGACCATCTCCTTTTCGTCGTCGGTGTTGAACTCGAGCTTGGCCATCTGCAGCGCCAGCGCCTCGCACTCGCGCTTGCTGAACGCGAACACTATGACCGGATTATAATTCTTGACCATGATCATCTTGACAATCTTGTAGATGTCGCTGGGGCCCTTTGGCTGGCCGCCCTTTTTGGTCTGGCCCTTTTTCTTTCCGGCGCCGGCGTTGGCGTCGGCGGGGTCCTCGCCCTTGCCGTCTGCGAGCGCGCCCATGGCCTTCTGGAAGTTGTCCTCTCGGAAGGTGCCGCGCTCGTCGACGACGAGGTGGATGCCGTCGCCGCCCTGGGGAAAGAGGTAGTGCTGCAGCGGCGTGGGGCGGAAGTCGGTGTAGACGACGTGGCAGGGCTGTGCGTGGGTGTGTGCGATCCACTCGGCGAACTGCATGGCGTTGGGGATGGTGGCCGAGAGGAAGACGTAGCGCACCTTGCGCGGCAGGAGGATGATGGTCTCCTCCCACACGACGCCGCGGTCCTTGTCGCGCATGTAGTGGATCTCGTCAAAGATGACCCAGGCCACCTCGCGCATGATTTCCGAGCCGCGGTAGAGCATCGAGCGCAGGATCTCGGTCGTCATGACGAGGCACGACGCGCTCGGGTTGATGGTGACGTCGCCAGTCATGAGGCCGACGTCGCCAAACTCGGCCGTCATCTCGCGGTACTTTTGGTTCGAGAGGGCCTTGATGGGGCTGGTGTAGACGACGCGCTGGCCGTTTTTGAGGCACTGTGCGATGGCGTATTCGGCAACGACCGTCTTTCCCGCCGAGGTGTGGGCCGACACGAGGACCGACTCGCCGCGCTCGATGCAGTTGACGGCGTTGCGCTGGAAGGGGTCGAGCTCAAAGTTGTAGCGCTTGGCCGGCGGGTCGTTGGGGACGTGCTGGGCGAGCGGGACGTAGGGGTATGCGGGGGGCAGGGCGACCTGGTGGCGGACCGAGTGCGAGACCTTGAGCGCCTTGGCCGACGACGGGCCTGCGTCGGACTTTGAGTCTTGGTCTGCGTCGCCGGCGGCCGAGGCTGCGGTGGCGGGTGCGGTGGCAGGGTCTGCGGCGATGGAGCGGGTGGTCTCTGCTGTGAACTCGTCGGTGACTACGGTTGGGACCGGCTGTATCCTCTGCCGCTTTGTCGAGGGGCCGGGCTGAGCGTCGTCGTCGTCGTCGGCGGCGGCGGCGGCGGCGGCGGCGGCGCCGGGGTGGCCGTTGGCATCGTCGCTCTTTGTCGCACTTTCTGCTGGTGCCGGTACTGGCGCCGGCGCTGGAGAGGATGAAGAGGAAGCGGCTGCCGAGTCTGCGGTGCGCTTGTTCTTGTTCTTCCTGCCCTTCTTGGGCGAGGTGGACGAGGACGAGGGTTGGGGCTGGTCGTCTGCGTCTAGCTCTGTGATGGAGGCGCCTCCGTCTGCAGGAGGCAGAAAGTCGAAGAGGCCATCCGGATCCATGGCGGGATGATTGGGCGAGGGTCGGTAGGGTCGGGTGGCAGTGATGGGAGGTGGGGTTGGTGGCGAGCAAGCAAGCAAGGCAGGGAGCAGCCGCCATGTGCAGCCGTCAAAGGGTTGGCGGCCAGCCGGCCGGTGGGGAAAAATCAAAAAATTCCAACGGGCTCAAAGCTAAGGTGTGAGGCGGCGGCTGCTGCTTGCCTGCAGGCGGCCACACAGGGTCGGGGCGTGTGGAGTGACGGCGGCGGCGGAGGAAAAAGAAGGGGCGGCGAGTGACTAAGCAGCCGTCAGCAGGTCGACGTGGTCCGTGATCAACCCGCCGCGCCAGCTGCCCGGCCTGCCTCTGCAGCCAGACGGACCTCGACGACACCTGGCTGGCTCCACCTCGCTCGCCTCTTCCCCCCGCTCCTTCCATCCCTGCCACCGCCACCACCAACACCGCAACCACTCTCCCATCACCCTTCACAGCGCACATCGCACCAACATGGTAAGAACGCCCCCGTATCCCCGCCCGCCATCACCATCACCACCACCGCCGCCGCCAACGCTGACACCTCCACCTCTTCTCCCTGCTCCCTTGCCTTGCCCATATCATCTCCCAACCGCCCTCCCAACCGCAGTCGACGACCACACAGACGCCCGCCCCCTCTCTGGCCGTCGTGCCCCCGCCCCGCGCGGCCAACGGCGTACTCTCGACGCACGCCACCTCGCACCGAGAACACCTGGGCGTGCACGACGCGCTCCGCTTCGGCCCGCAGAACCTGCACCACACCACCAGCCTCTCGACGGCCCACCCGGCCCAGAACCGCCTGGAGAAGTGGGACGAGACGCGCGACAACCTCAACCTCACCATGCAGAGGAACCTCTTTGGCCTCGGCGCACCCGTCCGCACCCTCATGGAGAGGAGGATTGTCTCGCACGTGCGTAATGCCGCCCCGGCGGCGCTGGCTCGCGTCCCCTGCCCGCCCGCTCTCCTTGACCGGAAGGGAGAACCACCAAGGCTGATTTGACATCTCGACCGCCCGTCCTTCCGCAGAACCCCCACTTCCCCACCCAGGGCATGTCCAACCTCCATCTCGACATCCTCAACGGCAAGGACGAGACCCTCGAGCCCGTCGACTTCCTCCCCTGTAAGTGAGGCCCCTCCTGCCCTTGTCCGCCCTCGGCCTTGCCTGACCAGCAAGCGAATCTGACTTGTCCCCTCCCTTCTCCTCTTCTCCCTCTTGCGACCCCCGTGCAGCCGAGGTGGCCAGCGAGCAGCTCGACATCCACTCGCACATGGAGCGCAAGTACCGCATCTAGACGCATCGCCGCGCCTCCGCCTCTCTCCCTCGCTTCTCTCTCTCTCCCGCCTTTTCCCCGCTCCTGTACTTTTAGAGACCTTCTCTCATCATCAACCCACCGACGAATCCACACACGCACAGCCAACCCATTCGTCGAGTCAGTCGCCCGCGGCATTCGAGAGGCATGCATGCTCGATTCCCCCTTTCGGCCAGCGACAGCCCGTTTACAGCTCGTCGTGACCGCCCCTCGTCTCGCCTCCATCGGCCTCGTGGCTACCCTGCCTGGGCCCTCCATCGACGACGACCTGCTCCGGGTCGACGACGTTTCGGCTCTCTCCCCGCTTGGCCACCTCGCTCGCCAGCGCCGCCACCTCGGCATCGTAGACCGACCACTCGGGGATCTGCCTTCGTGCTCGGTCGAGTTTGGGCTCTTTGGTCTTGGGGTTGGAGCAGAGGTCGATGGTCTTGGCGTCGTCGAGCCAGGCGGAGCTGCACCACGTCTCGCACCACAGCCACTCCTTGTCGAGGGTATGGATCGGCAGGCTACCCTGCATGTTGTTGGGCAGGTCCTGATCCAGATTCGCCAGCGAGGCAGGGTCCGCCGATAGGGCCTGGTACTGGCCCCGCAGCTTGTCGCCCGCCGCGACGCGCCGGAACCGGTGCAGATCGACGACGTACAGCGCCGAGATGTGGTACGGCCGGCCGCGCAGGTACTCCTTCCAGTAGCCGTGCTTCCAGAACCGGAACCCATCCATGTCGTCGCTGTCGTCGCCCATCGGCGGATAGCCGTACACGGCACCCCCCAGATCGAGGTCGACAAGCTCCTGCAAGTCGGTTCGAACCACCTGGTCGGCATCGACGAAAATCACCTTGCTCAGGTCGAGCGGAAAGAGGGTGTCGAGGAAGAGAATCTTGTAGCCCCAGATGGTGCGCTGCTTTTCGCGCTGCGCCCGCAGCCAGTGCGGCCACGCGTACGTCACCAGCTCGTACTCGAAGCCGTACCGCTCCGCCAGGTGCGGGATAAACTCCTTGAACGACGGCGACAGAAAGTTTTCGATAAACCAGAACTTGACGCTGCTCTGCGTGTGCTTGACCACCGACAGCACCATGATGTAGGCCATCCGCTCGTAGAGGTGGCCCGACGCCACGGTGAAGATGTTGATGTCGGCGTGCCGCTTCCTCGCCACCGCCGTCGTCGATGTCTGGGAGGCGGACGAGGAGGAGTCCAGTCCGAGAGTGGTGCGGACAACGTCGACGGCCTGAGATGCGGCACGGGAAGCACCGTCGAGCGCGTAACGGAGCATCCCAACGACGCCGCCGCCGCCGATGCCGTTTGCGCCAGTCCGCGCCGCCTTCTTGACCGGCCGGCCCTCGGCATCGAGCTCCTCGAGCAGGTCCTCGGCCTCCTGGCCCTTTCTCTTGCGCACGACGGGGTAGATTTTGAGGCCGCTGAGGGTGTCGAGGGTGATGTCCTCGCCCGTCACCTCGACGCCCGGGCTGTCCCAGCCGACGTTGCCGACGCTCACCATCTCGTAGAGCTGCGAGCTGCGGCCCGGCCGGATGGCCAGGCGCCACAGGCCCGGCTGCGCCTTGAACTGCAGGTAGGCCAGGTTGGCCATGACGATGGTGTCGACGCTGCGCGAGCCGTCGGGCGTCTCGAGCACCAGCTGCAGG